TGAAAATATTCATAGATATACTACAGAGATAGAAATACAGAGAGGGAGGGAAAGAGAGGAAAATAATATGAAATAAGTTTAAAATTGAGGACTTTGAAAATAAAATTTTTATTTAAAAGTGCATAGTAGAAAATTCTCCATGTATGTGTTTCTCACAGACTAACCACTCCATCCTCACCCCAAGCAACACTGACATCTTGAAGAATATATCCCAAGATAAAAAATTGGACTGGGAATCAGGAATTATATAATTTTATTCCTGAATCTGACATTGACCAGTAGAATGAGTGGTTTTGGATGACTCATATTCTGGACTTCATTTATTTATCTGCTTTAGATTATCATAGTTCCTATGGGTTAAATAAATATGAATTCTATATGAGAATTCATTGATTCCCATGAGGGCAAAAACCATGCAAAGAAGTTCAGTGAGGAATTTCTTTTGCATCTTTCCAACTTCCTGGTGAGTTCTCTTCCACCACATGGATTTCCCTTTCCTCCCTTTAATCAGGCCAGCACTTAGTAGAGACACAATACATGGTAGGTCTTCACCTCCATGCTCCATTCTTATGCCCTCTACACTTTGGTGACACTGGGCTTCTCCTTGTAGGCTCCACCCAGGCCAGAGAATTTCCTGGCCACTACCCCATGATTCAAACATTTCTTTTTCACCTCTTCTGTTTGCTCAGTGGTATATTATTTTGTGTTGCCATATAGAACTTTTGCCTCCATTAGGTATTAATAGTAAACAGCAGGCTTGCAGTTACCACTTTCATTTTAATAGAGTGCCTTACCATCAGTCAAAGGAATTGGCATGTAACCATAGGACTTGGGGCGCTGCCACAGGGAGACTCAAGGTTACTCAGGGGATTAGTTGGGGAACATGGAAAAAACAAGAATAATTTAAGTTTATCCAGAGCCCATCCAAATGTAATCAAACAAGAATTTTTAGTCAATGACAAATCATTACAAAACTTCAAATCTTGATTGAGCATTTCATTAACATCCCCTGACTATTAACTTTTCCATCAATTTTATTGTCATTTTATAAGCTGGGATTTGGAATTGTTTTGGATTTGTTCACACCCTCTGTTTTTTTGGTGGGGGATGTGCGGGGGTACTGTCTGAAAGACGGGATGAATGGTTGTGGTTCCAGCGGGCATGACTGGCTTTCAGAATTGTTTTGGTAACTAGAGGGAGAATATGCTTGTAGGTATTCTAGGCCATAGCTCTCTGAAAGATCCTCCCACACGGCTTGCTTAGCTTTTACTTTCATTTTGTATTAAACAAAAAGTCATTTGAGGGCTATTTAATGCTCTGGTTTGTGTTTTCCAATACCAGATAAAAGTTAAACAGATGAACCATTTGGGGGGTAAGGATTGGGAAATCCACGCCTGCTAAAATGCTTTAAAGTTTCAAAATGGTTTTGTTTTTTTAAACCCATTTTCCATGTTCCAGCAGCTGTGGGTTTTCCCAGGGCTCCCCCTGTGGCTCAAAAGGGACCTGCTTAATGCTTAACAGATGAGCCAATTGAGTTTTTAAATGCAAAATTAAACTTAAAGTGCACAAAGAGCACAGGGGAATCCACAGCCAAGAACAGACTGAAGGAGAGTGAGCCGCAAGCTGTGGGGAGACGAAGCCTCTTTTCCTGCAACCAGCACAAATGGGAGCAGGGTACAGACACATCCATCTTTTAATGGCCCCTCAAACAGGCAGTAACCACCTCCATATTGCTAAAAGGTTTTTCATAACTACTTTTTTTAGATTTATTTACATGCTTATTTTTCTTTAAGAACAGACCAAAAAAAGCAGAAAATAAATAGATGCAGAACTCTATGGACTACAAGGACAAATATTTGTTTTGATCTCCATCAAGTCTGTCCTCTCAGTGATGGTGAGAGAACTTGGTGGCCTCAGCAATTTTTTTCCTCAGATCCCTAGGCACTTCATTTCCTGTCCCCCAGACACTCCGAAGATCATCTAGATTCTCAAAACATCAGGCTTTGAATGTGAGGAGCCACGACATTTATGGACTTTGGTTGGGACAAAATTTGCCAAGTCAATGAGTCAGTTGTTTTATCATTCATCTAAATATTTGAGCATAAGAAAGCATTGGATTTTGGTTGCTTAAAAGTAAGATTCAGAAAAAAATGTTTTTACCAACTTTGGTAAAATCTTCTCTGGACAAAATTATCCTAACATCTTAAAAAGTAAATCTCCATTGTGTAAGCACTTTTACTTAAGTGGTTTCCATCATGATCAAGACTAAAATTCTATTGAAGTGATAACATTAACTGTTGGATTCCAAATTACGGAAATGTTTTTGGAAGTCAGTCTCAACATTTCAACAAGTTTTTAATAACAATAAGTACATTGGCATTCCAGGATACAGCCCCACTGAGCCGCATCAGACCACATAACCTCTCAGATTTTTGGCCAATGCATACTACTGAAAATGTGAATTCCTTAGTATTTGGAGGGCGGTATGTATGTCCTTTGTTGTCCAGTACATTTTAAATGCATTTAAGGAGTACTTAGGATAATCTGCAAAAGTGCTGAGAAATGACAAACACATTGGAAAACTGCTGCTGCTCAGATCTTGTATCCACACAGCTTTTAAACTAAGAAAACACTGAAAATCCTTTAATAGCTCACTTTTGGAGAATTCATATTTTAATGGATAGTAACCAAAAATCCTGTTGTCATGCGGGAAGAAATTTCCCATGAGGATACCAAGAAGAGGAGCTGGCAAACTTCCAAGTTCACATTTGATATATCACCAAGTGCAGCAATAACTAGTGAAGTCACAAGTTTAAATAAGCCTAAAAAACTACACAAAAATATACCCACATACGTTTCTGTATGTACACGCACACATACCTTTTAAACATTATTTAAAGTTGCCTCTTCAATTACAAATTATAGCACTTGAGCATTTTTACTCAGACTTTCAAAATAAAGCTTACTACTTTAGGTTTTGAGAGCTATCATGGCCCACTCCTGTCCCCTGCCAAAAAGAATACAACCGATCAACCAACCCCTCACCCCCACCTCCCCCCAAAAAAACCCAAAACTATAAAACAGATTATGATTATTTGGTCTCAACCTTCTTCCTGATGATAATGGTCAACTCTTAGCTGTTTAAGGGAACAATTATTATACCTTAATCACTTAAATTCAAGATGTTAATTGTGAAATGGCAACTTCTAAAAATAGAATAAGAATAGAAATTCCTGCTCTGCATTTGGGACTGTGTATTCAGAGACTTCTACCTCTTAGGCAATCAAATCCACTTGTCACTGACTATATCCAGCCTTGTCAGTTTGCCGGAAGGAAAGATGCTGAGGTTGGGCTCCTGCGAAAAGGTTGGGCTCCTGAGAAAGCAATCATATGGTTAATTGCTTTAGTGTGAACCTAGCCATTGTGATTAAAGCCTAGGACTTGTGTTTAGCTAGAGCAGAGTTTCCATGCTTCAAGGCACTCCTTGGCAGATGCAGGACTCTTCAGGCCTTGAGAAAATGTGCTGAGGCATCAGCAGATTTCCCTGAGGAGTTGCTGTAGTGTTTGGGGGATCATTCAATCATTAGACCATATTCAAACAAACTGAGTTAATTTGAATATGTAATCATTGGGTCAGATATTCATATATTTGCAAGCTCTTTCACGGGGTGATCATCAGAGTGCAGATTTAAATAAACAAGAACATAATTCAAAACTTGACATATTATATGCTTGAATTTAATGTGAATCTATGTTCACCCCCAAAGCAACTTATATCTGTCACCTATTAATTATATACTTGCTTATATACTGCTACTGGTACACTTCTAATGGACATAAATTAAAAAGACAACCTACTCTACTTTTAGATAGAATCCTATGGTTTATCTTTCCAGAACTCTAAATTTAGTTTTTCTCATAGAATTTGAGTAGTAATGATTAGCCCACATTTCTATATATATAAACACACAGACATATACATGTGTATGTATGGGTGTGTGAATATATACATAGATTAATTTTGATGCACATGTTTCAAAACACTTATTTAATCCTCTTTCTTTATAAAAATTATATCAAATCAAAATCTTATTTCTTGCCCCCCAATGAAATGTTGGCTTCAGAGTTCACTTTCTACTAAGAAATTTTAAATCATTAAGCACGTAAAATACTATTAACTTCCTTCCCCTTTTAAAAATTAACCAATATACTTTGGAGTTTTCACAAGAAGAGGCTAACATGTGCTGATGCATAAACAAAACATCTAACCATGTTCCAGTAATTCAAGTCCAACACCATTCTGAACAGATTTTTAATATACTCATGGGAGTCACACAAGGGTAACTGGTGATGACTTCAAATCACTTGCATCTTATTTATCTTAAAATCTATGCCATAATCTGTTACTACATTATAGGCAATAATATTGTTCTGTCAATTGTAAAAACAATGGAGTTTTGTTAATTTACCTCTATTTATTGCTCTTCTGTAACCTTATAAAAACTGACCCTTGTGTATATAAGGTATTTTTGAAGCCCTACTTTCTCAGAAATAGATGCAGTTAAGATTTACCATTTTAAGAAATATTAACACAAAAGGAGACATATTATGGTATAGTCCTCATCACTTTGCATTGTTCTCCCAACACTTGCCTTCATTTTAAGGGTGGATCTCTTAATGTTAATAGCAGATGCATCACGTGCAGAAGCTGGGAGCAGGAAAGCCATGTTTGGCATATAGACTCTTTGTAAGGAAAAATGCTACACAAAGCACGCTGCATCAAGTGCTTTATCTCAGACATTGAATCTTTCTCCTCAACCCATTTGCTCAATATTTCCTACCACTGTAAAAATTTTCTCATAAGAGTTAAATATTAAAATTGAATGGGAAGTAATAGAAAAACATAACATCTATTCCCCAATGCAAAAATACAATATGCAAATATGAAAATGAGGGGACTCTGCTTCTTCCCCTTATACAACTGATTAAATTGTCACTGCTGGAGATTACATGAGGTTTTATTCCCTTTACAGCCATATTCAATCGGTCAGACAGGAAAATATATTGCCCCAGAAGAGACCCACCACCTGGTACACTGTGCTTTCAGTTGCCTGCAGAGGTCTTGTCCAAAACTTTGCAGCTACACCTTTAAAAAAAGAAAAATATTAGATGTGGTCATTCAAGACAGACTAGATGATCTCTAAAGCCCTTTTCAGCTTGGAGATTCCAGTAACACAAAACTCTTCCCTTCATTACCAAATATTAGCTTGCACTTTACTTCTCATGTAACAAAACCTCCGCTAGCACATCCCCTTTTTATATAGATCCTAAAAATGTTGTATTCATTTTGCCTGAGACTTTCATTAAAATGTATATATATATTTTACATATTACATACATATAATTACATATATATACACATGAGAGGGTCTTCTCTTTATTTCCTAGCTGACTGATGAATTTATTTCCTGGTTGACCAGTTTTGACACTGAACTTACCCTCCCCCCCTTTGCCCAACTGTCTCTTCCAGATGGAAATATGTGATGCTTGCAAAAATTAGATATGGAAACGGAGGGCTTACCTTTGCTTTTCTTGGGTCTTGCCGCGGATCCGTAATGGTTCTCACAGTCTGCTGGATGTAATAGAAGTTAGTGCTCACTGCCTCTGTCGCCTGCCTGTGTCACTCTGCACTGCAGGCTTAGCAGAGAGCTGCCTCCAGCTGCAGGCGAGGGGCCTCAGTGTTAAGGACGCACAGGACCAGTTTGTTAATGAGATGTTTCTCCGGTGCATAGATATGTAGCTACAAGGACAGGGAGATTTAACAACGAAAAATGGTGGTAGGATGATGTTTTGAACTGAAGCATTCAGAAAAGAAAATGGCAACAGCAAAAAATAGTGAGCAGATGCTTCCTTGCAGGGACAAGAAAACAGGAGCATGCCTATTTGCCTTTAGATTTGTAGTAGATGCACACGTGCTACTTTACTATAGAAGGGAAGGAATTGATTCCCAAAGAGTTTGTATGTGGCTTGATATAGGGTATAAATATTTTGTTGCTGTCAAAATGACACAGATTTTTTTAACTAGATAAAATCTTTATTGTATCTATTGATAGTAAATGCAGTTGGAAAAATGTATCTTCTCTGATTGCATGGATGAGTAAACAATCAAGTTTCTCATTTCTAGCACCCAGATGGGTAAATTTAAAATGAAATCAAGTGATTTCTACAATCGCAAAGCATAGAATTCCATAAGCATCTTAAAACACAGACATATATCATGCTTAAACATGAATTGTGTTTAAACTCAAGAATTTAAGAAAAATTTGCTTTCTGACATCATGTATGCTCCTTTCTAAGAATATAGTAAAGCTGCTCAAGTCAGATATCTTTTTGCTGTCAAAATTAAAGCAGAGTTGTGTGTGTTTTATGGGTGTGAACATATGTATACTTCGATCCTGTAAGCCCTACTTTCTCAGAAATAGATGCAGTTAAGATTTACCATTTTAAGAAATATTAACACAAAAGGAGACATATTATGGTATAGTCCTCATCACTTTGCATTGTTCTCCCAACACTTGCCTTCATTTTAAGGGTGGATCTCTTAATGTTAATAGCAGATGCATCACGTGCAGAAGCTGGGAGCAGGAAAGCCATGTTTGGCATATAGACTCTTTGTAAGGAAAAATGCTACACAAAGCACGCTGCATCAAGTGCTTTATCTCAGACATTGAATCTTTCTCCTCAACCCATTTGCTCAATATTTCCTACCACTGTAAAAATTTTCTCATAAGAGTTAAATATTAAAATTGAATGGGAAGTAATAGAAAAACATAACATCTATTCCCCAATGCAAAAATACAATATGCAAATATGAAAATGAGGGGACTCTGCTTCTTCCCCTTATACAACTGATTAAATTGTCACTGCTGGAGATTACATGAGGTTTTATTCCCTTTACAGCCATATTCAATCGGTCAGACAGGAAAATATATTGCCCCAGAAGAGACCCACCACCTGGTACACTGTGCTTTCAGTTGCCTGCAGAGGTCTTGTCCAAAACTTTGCAGCTACACCTTTAAAAAAAGAAAAATATTAGATGTGGTCATTCAAGACAGACTAGATGATCTCTAAAGCCCTTTTCAGCTTGGAGATTCCAGTAACACAAAACTCTTCCCTTCATTACCAAATATTAGCTTGCACTTTACTTCTCATGTAACAAAACCTCCGCTAGCACATCCCCTTTTTATATAGATCCTAAAAATGTTGTATTCATTTTGCCTGAGACTTTCATTAAAATGTATATATATATTTTACATATTACATACATAAAATTACATATATATACACATGAGAGGGTCTTCTCTTTATTTCCTAGCTGACTGATGAATTTATTTCCTGGTTGACCAGTTTTGACACTGAACTTACCCTCCCCCCCTTTGCCCAACTGTCTCTTCCAGATGGAAATATGTGATGCTTAAAGTCATTACTAAAATGTGACTGCCAGTTAGTCAGCACGTAGTATGAGCACTGTGTTCTATGCTTCGTATGTATTCCCTTGAATTCTTACTATAACCCTGAAAGGCAGGCATTCTCATTCCCTTCTGATGCAGGGGAAGACAGAGGCCCAATGATGAAGGTACCGCCTTAAGGCTACACAATAGTTGTGATAGCAAGTATTTGGTCCTAGAAATATCAGGTGTCAAATTGCCTTTGCTTTCAACTACATCATATTGAGGCAAAAAGAATCAAAAGTATGTTTTGAAATTCCATTATGCATAAAGAAAGTATGTACACTTGTTAAATTTCACAAACATATGCTTACTTCATTATTTGTATGTACTTGTCCCTAAAATAATTAAATGCAAATTGCTTCTTAGATCTTCCTTTTTAATAATATTTACTAACTTTAGTTTTATTTTTGATTAAAAAAAAGAATCTCTAAACTCAAGTTACTATCTTCAACAAAATTTCTAAGCAGGACTGGGTTTAAGTTTTCTTTGTATATATACCAATTTACTGATAAATGGTTGTAAAGGTAAACAAACTATGACAGAAAGTTCCTACCAGTAAGATAAACAAGAAATAGCAACTCTAGAAGCATGAAGAGATCATGTGTGCAAACCCATCATGTTATATCAGCCTTTCCAGTAATGACATCAGTGATCAAATATGTTTTTACAGTTGTCAAAGTAGTGGATCAGACATTTAATCCCAGCCTCCTTGCAGCTGCTTTTCTCCATCCTTCTCTCCTTGTATTATATTTGCCTATTGGGAGAATAAAAAATTACATGCTCCTTTGTGTTCCTCCTTCAGATTAGAAGCCCTCATACGTGTTGCTATGATGACGACATGCAGGTGTCAGCTCTAAAAAGGTCGGTGTGTTAATTCCAAAACACCCTGTTTCATCATTACTGCCTCTTCATCTTATTCTTGCAATGATATATATACGTATATATTTTCTTTTAAGAAGCAGACACTTAAGTTTGATATTTCATTAGAAGTCTAAAATTGCTCCAATGATTGCCATGAAAAATGTTATATTTCTAGGCTTTGGACAAGAGTTTAACCAAATTTTCTTTGATGGAATGTAGTCCTGAAAGCTGTTCTTGTACTAAGCTGCAATTAATGCTTGTACCCAGCAGTCTCCTAAGAAATTGTAGAAAGAACAAAGTTAGCAACTAACAGATCCAAAATAGCTTGGGAGCTTTAACCACAAGGATAGGATAATAGTAATGCAATGATTAAGAGGAAAGATTGGGGAATAAGGTAAACTTGACTTTGAATTTCAGTTCTACCGTTTGCCACCTTTGTGGCTTGGGCAAATTGCCTCACTTTTCTAAACCTCAGTTTCTTTATCTGTAAAATGGGCATAATAATGCTCACCTCCCAGGGTTAAGAGGAAACTTTAATCAGGTAATACATATAGAAAATTCAGGACAAAATTAGGTACTGAGTAAGTCCAGTCTAAAGGACAGTTGACAGTGTCATCCTCGTTTTCACTTTTATTATCACTAGCAGTCATTAAAAATTTATTTCTCTTTCTTTCCTCCTTTTGGCACTATGCACTGAGCTATCGAGTACTTTATCCAGTTTACCAGTGGCATTTGAGGTCCTAGCAGTCTCTTATTGCTGTTCCCTCCACACTATAATAATTTTATGTATGAGTCCTATAACATCTTTGAGCCCAAGATCAAATCTGTACTACAGGAAACATACATAAACCAGTTCTTCAGTACATTTTGAGGTACTTAGAATTTATGCCTATAGGCCAGTATTTAAGAATATAATCTGTATAACAGATCCCACCTTGCTAATACCAACTTTTGCTGGTATTCTATTTCCCAGTAAAACTTTTCAAAGCTAAGCCCAATACCTACATAGAAGGAGTTCAATAAATTACTGTTAAAATGAGCTGAACTGAACTTACAATATTTTATTTGCCTCAGGCAAAACTGGTTCATTAATAATATGCTTTATTAATTTATTCATACATACCTATATGCCTTCATTTATTCAGTAAGCACTTGTTACATGTCGATAGTATGATAGACTGTCTCCAAAATAATTTAAACAAGGGAAAGGACCCCTTCTTCCTTGTATATAACTGTATCTTCAGTATGAAGCACAATGCCTGGCATATGATAGGTGCTCAAGAAATAATCCGCTGAATCAAATAATGAAATACTATTTTTCGATGGATTGCCTTTCAGGATATGCAGGAACAGCTTGGAGAACTGCAGGATGAAAACAAAAGCAGCAAACACTCCAATGGTAACAAGCTCCATCTTTCACGATTATTTGCCAGGCTAAGTGTAATCAGATCCCAGAAGTTTGCTTCAAGGTTTCACTGCTATGAGCAAGCATGTTTTCAACTGGGTCTGTCAGAGTTTTCCTAACAACAGTTTCCCAATCAACAGTTTTCCCTTGAAATAAAAAGAACGTATCGTAGTTGAAAAAATGGTGATAGCTATAAACAACGGTAATAAATATACAACCCTGGGAATTACACAAGGATTAGAAAATTTAATAATTGAAAGTAGGGAAGATTCAAGCATAGCTGCTTCATTGGGAGTTCCTTCTATAAGAAAGAAGTAGTATATTTTGGTGACAATCTTGTAACTTTATTGCTTAGAGATCCTAGAAATCAGACAATCACTCTAATTTTTACATGAAAAAGTTAAGACCCCAAAAAGTTTCAGAGACCACCAGCAAGGTACTTGGAGCCAAAACTAGGGCCCTGGTCTCTGACATTTAAGAAAGTAACTGACCTTACCATTATATCACAAGAACTATTAAATATAAATGCTAACATGGATAATTTCATGAATAGTGGGATTTTGACTATCTGTAAGACAGCAAAAATATTATACAGAAGCAAACATGTGCAATAAAATATTCAACATGCTGTTAGTGTTACTTACTACCAAAAAGAAGTTTAAAAATGATAGAAAATTCAGTTGTTCAAGCATAATATATTAAGTACCCAAATCCAGATTAAGACCAGAGTAAATTCCAATGGGCATGCCTTTTTCCCCCCAGTCATTCATATTGAATTTTAAATTCATGTTAGCAACCACCTATACAATCCAGGGAGGAAAAGAAGGGAGTAGGATTAGGTGTGGTGCTGAACAAGTTTCCGAATGTAAGTTTATAATTTAATCTTGGAAGCTGATACTTTTCCTATATCTAAAACACCACAGTGGGTTGTTTGCAAATAGCAATTTGGAAGCATTAAAAAAAATTCAAGATTGCAGCTGAATTGCATGTAAAATTCAAACAGTAACAATAAAGTGATAGATCAATTCTATATTCGATTTGTGCATCTAGAAATAAAAGGTACAAATTTGGGCGGCCATGTGTTTATGATATTGCTGTATGAAAGAAACTAGGGGTAGTTATGCTAATATCACAGAGAAT